CTGTGTTGGATGAGTGTTTGCTATTGCATACACTGTTTGTCATTTGAGATTCTGTCTTGCTCAGGTATTGTGTGCATTACATTTTATAATTTGTTTGTGTATTGTGTAGCAGATCATCGTTGAATATTGTTTTTTTTGCTGAGAACAAAATTGAATATTCAAGAAAAAAACAATGAGAAAAATACCAACCGATACTTGGGTGGATATCGAATTATTTCAAAATGATTTAAAAGATATCGATCAAGAATTTATTCAAAGCGTCGTTTCTATTTTTAAAATAACCCAATTTTTCGAAGAAATTGGTTTTCTATGCATCACCAACGATAAAACTTATGCTTATGGTGAAGCAATATGCGAATGGCTATCGTTACAACATGATCCAAAACGACCACAACAGATTGACATTTTGAATGACAAGAAAATTATTCAAGTCGAATCCGGCAATGGATTTGTTGCAGTTCTAACTGATGATGGACTAGTGTATCTAGCCAGTGGTAATTCTGAATGGCAAACGAACAATACTTTTCGATTGATCTCTACCGGTAATGATCGTTTTGAAATGATAGCATGTGGTTGTCTTCATTTTTTGTTGTTGTTACGACAAGATGGCACTGTTTTTGCTTTGGGTGATAATAGATATGGTCAATTGACTGGTAATTCAGATTCATCGTATGATACTGTCGTGAACACTGGTTTGAATAATGTCAAAATAATAGCTTGTGGAAGTGAACATATCCTTGCTCTCACCAATACGAATGAAATTTATTCCTGGGGCCGGAATGAGGATGGACAGTTAGGTCTAGGCGATACAGATGACCGAAGAATACCATCATTGCTTTCATTTCCTGATGGTTCAATTAATAGCCAAATCAAAAATATTGTGGCCGGTGAATGGCATTCTTTATTTTTATTGGAGGATGGTCAAATTTTTGGATGTGGTCATGGTCAACGCAATATTAATGATGATGAGGAAGATGCAAAAGTGCCGACAAAAATTCCAATTGAAAATGT